GCGCCAAAGTTACCCCCGAACACCCCCACAAAAAAAAAAAAAAAAAAAGAAAGAAAAGAAAAAGAAAACAGGTCATTGTTGACAGACCAGGAGTGATATGTGAGTCTTGGTGTGTGTTGAGAAGGCCACGCCTCTGTTCACATAGGAATGTGTGTTAGAACTTGGAAGGATTTGGTGTCTGATGGGTCTGAGGGAGGGTGCTCTTGGGAAGGGTCCAGAAGTTTCTTTGGTTAGGGTGTGGGGACACTGACTGAGGAGCAAGGAAAAGAACCATAATTTCAGAAAGCAGGAGAGTGCTGATGGGTGAACTTAAGTAGGTGGTGCAAATATCAGGAAAATGGCAAAATCTGCATTCAAAAACTAGCTTTGCTCCAGAAAGTCACAGGACATATTAGAGCCACCAGCTGCAGGTGAAAGTTGATTGAAAAATCCCTTTAAATTTTTCGTGACCCAGCTAGGAGGCTTGCGAGGTCTGGGGCCAGCTTTTTAATTAAATGCTGTGGTCATGTGCTTGCCTGTTCCATCTCGGTGCCTCTCTGATCAAAGGGTTCTGCTGCTTAGAGTAAGGCAGAGAGAGCTGACAGCCCTCGTAACAGACAACTGCTTTTTTTGTGCCATCCTAAACCCCTAGCTGCTAGAATTTGTCTGCTTTTTCCTAGATCATCAAGTCCAGCAATAAAGTCCATAGCTTTGGGAAGAGGGATCAAGCCATTCGGAGGAACCCCAATGTTCCGGTGGTGGTGAGGGGCTGGCTACACAAGCAGGTGAGGAGGCTGAGGGGAGAGAGCCTGGTTTGCTCCTGCTTGATTTAACCTTCCTGGGGATAAGCACAGAATCTTTCTGTTTCTGAGTTTATGTGGGGCAGGTGCATTCTGACCAGTGTGCTGAGTGATTACAGCTTTTTTCTCCAAGGATTACAGCTTCACTCCCCAAACCCACTTGATCACTTTGGCTTCTGTTGGCATTGGTTGCTCTGGAGTCCAGACCCTGGTTCAGTCAGCCTCAGTCCAGCCTTTCTTTGGGTTTTTTTTTTTTTTTTTTTTTTGGTACTGGGGATTGAACTCCGGGACTTGCGCTTGCGAAGCAGGTGGCAGAACCACTGAGCTAAATCCCCGGCTCCAATCCAACCTTTCTGCCAGTCCTCTCTCAGCACCTGTCTTTCTGATATTAAAGTCTTTGTTATTGCTTGACTGAAGAGTCCCATCTTTTCCTCTTCCCTCTGTCTGGCATATGTTTGTAGCCCCATGGCACCTCAAATTCCAAATCACTCAGACTCAGCTCATTGTCTCCTGATCTCTTACTCCTCTCACTTTTCCCAGACTGCTTTTTCTGGATCTTAGCAATGTGGTACCATTGGCTGTCTTCCAGGCATGCAGGTTAGAGATCTCAGCATCACTGCCTGCTCTTCTGTCTCCCCTGAAGCCATCCTTCATGTCCATGACCACCCCCAGTTCATCTGCCTTTGATACTTTTTGGCCATGGTGGACTCTGAGTTTCCAGGGCCAGTGACTATGTCTCTTTTGTCCCCTTCCTTCTCTTTATAACATTCATTCATTCATTGATCCCCAGGTGCCTGTCATGTTCTGAGTCCTCTTCCAGTGGGGATAAAGGGATGAGTAACAATCCGTTCCTGCCCTCAAGGACCTTATTATCTACCAAGGAAAGCAACACATACCTCATGTCATATCATCACCCAGCCCAGTCTCACACCTATCACACGGTAGCTCCCCCTAAAGCCATCAAACTCCAAGAGCAACAGTGTTCACTTCAGGAAAGTCATTTCGTTGCACACCACGCAGTAGGAATCCCCAAAAGCCCCCGTGACATCTCCTTCCCCACTTCTGTTCCCCGAGACAGCTCCCACTGCACTCAGCCTCTTGTGTCAGACCTACCTTAGGCCCTGCTTTCTCTAACTCCCACCCTATCCCCTCACAGCTCTGCTCTCTTCATTTTCTTTTTTAAGCTATCTTCTCTAGTAGAATAAAACAGTATTTATTTTTTAAAAGTTAATTTTATTGGTACATTTAAGGTATATAGTATAATGACATTTGCTCTTTCTTTTCTTAGTTGAATAATTTAGCCCTCTGATTTTTTTCCTTTTATATCCTGCCTCCTTTAAACAAAGGATGCTCCTTGGAAATATGGCAGGAGAGTGAAGAGATCATAACTAACTCTTCCTGCTGCCAACCCCACTGCCAGGCCATTGGCTCTCCTGTAGCCACAATCAGTTTGTGTTGAGCACTGTGTACACCCAGCAGAGCATAACTGAGCCTGGGGAGTCCAGAAGGGTTTCTCAGGGGGAGTGACTTGAACCAGTGTGGAGGGATGGGTAAGTGGGCTGCCATTAAGGAAGGGAGCAGGGCGGGGGATTTGGCTCAGTGGTTCTGCCACCTGCCTTTCAAGTACAAGGACCCGAGTTTGATCCCTGGTACCAAAAGAAAAAGAAAAAAAGAAAGGGAGCAGATAACTTGGGCCATCATCTGGTTGATTTACAGAAGATAAAAGTGATAATTGGATATCATCAAGTTAAAATTATTTAACAATTTAGTGAATGGAGGATGAACAAACCTCTTGTGTTTAGATTTAGAAAACATCAGGGTTGTTTTGTATTAATTCAAGCTTATCAAAAACTTCTGCCTGGGCCGGGGATTTAGCTCAGTGATTCCGCCACCTGCCTTGCAAGTGCAAGGACCTGAGTTCGATCCCTGTACCAAAACAAACAAACAAACAAACAAACAAAGTTCTGCCTAAGCAAGAGATTTTAACAGTTACCTCTAAGCTAACGTATCTCTGAAGTTTTCCTAGGTTTTGGAGAAGAATGCTGTTTTTCTACCTTGGCCATGTTTTTCAATTTTCATGATTATTTAAAATGCTCTTTAAAAATTTAAAGTCTTACATTTTAGATGAATAAAGACTGATTCATTATGGGGAAATTTGATAGCAAAGTGAATCCAAATCTCTTTTCACTGAATGGAAGGAAAACACCAACAAAATCAGTCTTTTATGGGAAAGAACTGAGCTTAGTTAAATAAGAGCTTTTCTTCAGTTAATTAGCTGGCTTACATTGTATTCAGTATTATGTAAATTCAGTTTTATGATCAGTGTAAAGGAAGATATTTGATAGCATACCAACTAACTTTAGTTAAAGAGTTGATTCCTCTATTAGTAGGAGATAGGTTTTTTATTTCTAGAAGAAGGTAGATTATAAAAATTTGTTTCCAGGAGACCGGGAAAAAGAAGCTCTCTAAGCCAGGTGTGATGGTGCACGCCTGGAATCCCAGCCCTTGGGAGGCTGAGGCAGGAGGATCACTGTGAGTTCGAGACCAGCCTGGGCTACATAGTGAGTTCCAGGTCAGTCTCAACTACATAGTGAGACCCTGTCTCAAAAAACCAAAAAAAAAAAAAAAAACAA